TAATCTAATACTAATGACAAAAGGTAACATAACAGTGAATAGCAACAACAACAAAAAAAAATAATAATAATAATAATAACAAAAAAATAAATAAATAAATAAATAAAACTATTGTATTGCCAAGGGTAAATGGAGGAAATTGTCGTTGGATCGGTACAGAAACGGAGTTGGCCAACTCAATTTGAGTTCTTCAGGATTGAAATATTTTTTACCTAAATTGAGTTTAAGTAACGGATTAAGAATTAATCACATGGAATCATTTTTTTTTTTTAGATAGAAGAGGACAAAGGAAAGAATCTGGGCTTAGATGAAACATGACACGTGAAACTCATTTGGAGGAGAGTGGGTTAAAGCTACAAAAAGGGCATGACTCATTGTCCAAAAACCGCAGATCCCTGTTAAAAAAAAAAATCGGCAAGGTGGGAAGGTGGTGTTGACGGATGCTTGCTGGCTGGAGAAGTCATTGGCTAGGCAAATAAGAGAAGAGGTTGCTGTTTAGAGCATTGGAGATAAGCCATTTGAAGTGGAGGGGAAATCAGTTCAGCTGTTGGAAGGGGCCGTTTGATCGATTTGGTGCTTCAAGACTTTGCTTCATCCAATAAAATAGAGGTAAACTAATAAGCAATATATTTTCTTTCTATTGAGCACATGACATCTTCAACCAATCAACTCTGAAGTTAACAAGAAATAGAAAGCCGCAATCGACACCATCTTACTATAGAAATTCCTTTTTTTTTTTAAATCTGTCTCTTTTTTTGTCTGATATCAAACCAGAAATAAAACTTCAAACACGTCAAAACCTATGGACCCAAGAGTTTACTAAAAAAAAAAAAAAAAACTCTCTAACAGATTCTAATTAAGACATCCCATTTTTTATCTCATTTTTACTCATATACGAGACGTAAATAATAAAGATATTAGTAAGCAAAAGGCAGTAGTATACGAGGGCAAAAAAAAATAAACTGAGAGCGTTGGAGAAAAGCAAAGGACTCCGGGTGTTCGGCCTCAATCAGATCTTGCAACTGGTATGTGGATGCAGAGGTCTGACTTCTTTATGTTTCCTACTTTTACGATGAGGATTGAAGCAAATCCAGCTGGGCCAAGGCAGAAAAGAGACGCAAGCTGAAGTTAGCGGTCTGGGGTTTTGGGTTGGACGGACCAATAGAGGCTCCTCGAGAGGCCGGGATGGACCACTTTGACGGATCAAAACCTGGGCAACTGAAGCTCCATTTTGCTCGTATGAAAATAAGGATGGATAGAGGGAGTAGACGGGTAAGATAGCAAGGCTGGACGGTAGCTGAGAGAGCAAGTGGGGAACGACAAAAGTAGCTATGTATATGAGGCGGAGGATTGGAAGGTAATTGTGCTGAGGGTTTTTTTTTTGTGAGCTATCTTGTTTGAATATGAAATCGTGGCCAGCTGTCCTCCTGAAGTGGAAACGACGAAGAGGTAAGTTGCAGGAATGATGCGACAACAAAATGGGTAATTACATTTAATGACGTTCAATTAAAGTTTGACTATTCTCTAATTTAGCATCTGGTGTTTTGTAAACAAAAAAAATTTGTTGATATATTAATGCTCCAGTCACTTCTGCATTGAGTTAGAAGGACAGAATTGTACTGACCAAATCAAATCGTTCCGATTTGCGCACAATTTTCTCGATTTGTGTGTCGACCACCTCGTTTAGCGTGTCAAATTTGCCGAATATCAGAATTATAACAATTAATAGTGCATTTAGGGTATTGTTGATAACCCGATCGTAACGACGCAGTCCGTTCGTCAATCGGAGGTCATTCGAGCGTCGCCAAATTTTAATTCCCTTGATATGCGCGTTGTTGTATTAGGACCCTCATCGGTCATGGCATAATTCTATTTTGGATAAATTAGAAATTAATTTAAAGCATTGATTGTATTCCGGACATAGTAGCGAAGTCCGTTCATCGATCGGAAATCATTTGGTCACCGACGAGACTAATTTCTCTTGTAATGCGTACATTTCCGACATATTTGAATCTCGTTCAAAATTCGCAAGACCACCTCAAACGATCCAAATTTATTAAACAAAATATATTTCCTTAATGTCGGCAACGTTCTGGACGCAATGACTTTATCCGTTTACCGATCCGACATCGTTTGGTCTCCGACGAGACTAATTTCCCTTGTAATGTGCGCCTTTCCAACATATTTTAATCTCCTTCAAAATTCGCGAGACCACATCAAACGATCCAAATTTATTAAATAAAATATATTTTCCGAATGTTGACGACGTTCCGGACGCAAAGAATCTGTCCGTTTGTCGATCGGACGTCGTTTGATCATCGTCGAGGTCTCGTTTCCCTCGTAGCGCATGCCTTCGCATCATGTTTGAGCCGCCTTTGAAATTTTTTTAACACTTAAGACGATCCAAATTTATTAAATAAAATGTATATTCCGAATGCCGGGGATGTTTCGGATGCAATGACGCTGTCTGTTAATCAATCAGACGTCATCTGGGCATCTTCGAGGCCTCATTTCTGTCGTAGCGCAGGCCTTTATATTATATTTGCATCGCCTAGAAATTCACGAAACCACCGATGACGTTTTGCAACAAATTAAGATCCAGAAAGTTTTCTAACTATCTCTCCATCAATGGATCTTAATCCTTTATAATCATTAGGTTCTCTTCATCAGCAAATACATGAGAGTTAAGGAGTTGCAAGCACCAATCTTTCTCCAAGCCTTCTAATCTAAATGCTTTTACATTCTTTTTTAATGACCGTTGCAATCATCATTGCAACTATGCCCATTCGAGTTATTACCAAAATTCTATCACCAAAGCTTCCATAAGCCAAAGGGGCAAGCACCTTCTCCCATTTGCTTTTATCCTGTTTCTCATCATCCTCCAAAATATCATCTAGCACAAGCAAGACCATTTTGGACATTATCTCGGTCCAAAGACTATCTTGAAGTGCCTTAAATATCTCCAAAAGAGGCCTCTACTTCTTAAGAGGTTCCAACATATCTGTAATGACTTTCTTCTCTTTTTTTTTTCAAGTTTGTTGGGAACACAAACCCATAATTTAAGATCAAATTCCTTTGTCATTTCATCTTCATAAACATGTTGGAGGGTTTGTGCTTTTTTTTTTATACCACCATGGCCCACTATAGATAAAGAGAAATGCTTATGTACGAACTTGTCCGAGGCTCATTTGATGGCTTCCTCAACCACTAAATAACAAAATCCTTAGCTCTGCCACTACTGATGAGGTTATCTATAGGCAATGATCCTATGCTAGGGGTCAACAGTTCATTAACTCATCATTTTGCATACATTCTTAGTCTACACATTTCAGATAAAATATCATATATGCAAAATTAATAGTTAAAATTTTAATGTAAACCAATCAAAATATTCCAAAATAATGATATCTAGCACATATAAAAAATTACACAATAAGAGTGTTAAAATGAAGGATATTGTATTTTTACCAATATCATAAGGGAGAAAATGGACTAAAACAAATATAGAATAAAGATCACTTACTATGATCAGAATAATTATTGTAAAAGAAGCAACACGCGTAGAAGCTGCGAAAGACCTTTCTTCTCTCTCTCCCCCCTGTCCTCTTCTTCTCATTTATTTTCTTCCCCTGCAGGGAAAATTAATTGAGGGGGGAAGGGCTTATATATATATGACACCACGGCACCACATATCATAGCATTGTTGTGTTGCATGCAGAAATCTAGGTTATTGTAAAACAGAGAGCAGGGCGCCGCTGAGCTTTCCAGCTCAACGCCACAGTGTTGTAGCTCATAATTTTCCTATTTTTAAATTAATTTATTTTATAAATTTTCAGGTTATTACGTGGGCTTTACAATCACCTTTCATTGAAAAAGATGAAAGTTTTTAAATATTGAATCTATACTTTTAAAGATGATATATTTATAAGCCTATTTAACATACCAAAGCAAGAAAGAACTAATTCTGATAAAAAGAAGAAGAAGAGAGTAAAAATAAAAGTGGCAGTCGAAAAGTGAAATTAAAGAGTTTGCATCAAGTTAATATGATTCTAAACATCCAATATAAGTGTGCAGGACAAATTCAATTATTAATATCATTACATTATTCAAATCTAATCATCAGGCCAATGCCACCCAATCTCTACTATTGCATTGCCACTGCTAGATCTCATATAATGGATCGGTTCTATTTGACCTCCATAGTCAAACTACTGTCGCTCAACAATAGCCATTGGGCCAGTGCCGCTTGATCTCCTTTGCTAGAGCTCAATCGCCCAATCCCATCATCTGATTGTTGTTGCACGACTACTATCATTAGACCTCCACTCTTAGAAGGCCATCATCATACCACAACTATCTAACCACAACCATTTGAATGTCTCTTTACCATCACAACCTCACTAATATTTTTCCGCCACTCATGGTAGAATAAGCCAACAACTCATACCCATGTAACCTTCCTCTAATTTAGCGAATGTATAAACCTTTGCAATCTATGTGTACATAGTGGAATCATTTTAATTGGAAACCCTCTTCTCTGTTCAAATTTTCAATGTAAAAAAAGGTATCTCCTGCATTTTTATAGTTATATCTATGTGTGTGTATGATTAATTATTTGTTTGATTATTAATTTACTTTCATATGCTTAATGTCTAAATTTGAATTGATAGGCTTTTAGAAGAAAATTTTGAAATAATAGTTACAAATCTAATTTACCCCTCCCTATTTGTCTATAATAGCTTAATTAATTTTGCTAATTAATTATTAATGTAACAAGATAGTCCAATTAATTTTTTTATTAATTTATAAAAAATTAGTTTAAATTCATATATTTATGTATCCTATATATTTTTTGAAATTGCACTAATCTTTCATTTTATAAGCTCTCAATTAACAAATTAGTGTTAATGTAATAAAGTTTAAAGTTTATGATTAAGGTTTTATTTGGAGAAATTGTTAATGTTTTCTAAAATAATTTTTTAGTAAAAAAAAATTGTGCTTAAAAATTACTTTCTCTAGTTTTTTATTTTCTCAAAGAAGGCCATTTGATAAGCATTATATAGTATTGTGGCAGACGGTTGTTAATGCTATAAATCAACATGTTAAAAATTTTATTATTTAGTTGCTCGTTCACCAATATTTGAGCTTCAAGTGCCCATTAATAAAATTTTGAATATGGTCATTTGACCATTTTCACCGCTGAAGTTATTGAGAAGGGATGGGCGGGTTCCTTCAAGCCATATGGCACACTATCATTGAAATAAAACTTTATGCTTTCCACAGCATGCTTTTTGTGCTTATTTGTACTTTTATGAAGTGAGCAAAGGCTTCAATTGAATGGGGCTGGTCCTGGTCGGTTGGTTTGGGGGCTTAGGCTGCCAACTAAAAGTTTTTTTGGTTCGAGTATTGCGTATGTGATGTATGTATGAGTCTGTCTTAATTGATCTAAATGATAAAAAAAAAACTTCCAGGCTTGCATCAGCCTTTGCTAAAGCAAGTATGTTTAAGAGATTTGTTCTTTTAATTTTCAAAATAAATTAAGATATAAGAAAATGCTCGAAACAACATTTATGTTATCGTCATAGCTAGCTGCTATTGTCAACCTTCGTCACCTCTATCATAGGCCGATACTATTGTTGCCACCATTATCGTTGATCACCATCGTCATAGTTAGCAATTACCACCACGGTCTCGTCGACAACTACCAATATTGTCTCGTCATCTATCGTTATTATCTTAACGACTATCACTATTGTCTTACTAGTTTTCGCATATCATAAAAATCAAGTTATTTAAATTTACTAAAATATTAAATAATATATGTTTAAGATATTGACTATATTTAATTGTATGTCAAATAGAAATAAAATAAAATACTTATAAAAAAACATGAAAAGTGACCCTTAAATATTGGTTTTTGTGCAATTTTTGTCTTTTATTTTATTTATTCTAAGAATAACTAATAAACACATTTGATACTTTAGGGCGTATATTTTAAAATTTTTTTTTCATTTTGTTTTAATTTTATTTACATTTAAAATAAATATATTTTAATGAGAAAATATTTTTAAAATATTTTAATATAAAATAGATGAAAAAGGAGTTTTAATATCTTTACATTTATATTGTAGTTAATATTTATATGAATTAATATGATAATAAATTCTAAACCCAAACTTTAAAATCCATAATGATTATCAATATTTTTTATTAAAACGGTTTAATTATTTTTATATTTGCTTAAGAAGGCCTTTAACAATCAAAAAAGAAAACATAAGAAAAATCTATACATCTTACCTGTTTCTATACCTGAACCACCGGTGCGGTTCTTGAAGCGCCGGCGTGAACCACCTTCCAGTCTTCTTCTCCACCGTGAAGAACTTGTCGTCTTCCAAACCCGCCGCTTCGATAAAACCAATCAAAAAGGACCCATCTTGATGACGTCCATTCCATAGCTATAAACTATCCGGCTCTTGGACCCAGTCTGATCTTTCCAGCTGCACCTCATTAAGCTGTATTTCTCCGTCGCCTCAGAACTCTTTCTCTTGCGATCAAGAGAAGGTACTCTCTTCCTATCCGAAATAGGTCACCTTTCTTAGATATATAGTCCTTCTCTGCTACGATTGATCCCCACGTACGCTCTCCCCATCCCCTGCTTTCACTTCAGAAAGAAATGTATCGTCTGAGAATTCCTTCCCATTCTTCTTACCCAGCGTAATCTTCAAAAAGTTCTGATTTTTGCGAATCCGTTAAAGGAGAATTCGCAAAGACGCAACAGTTGCGTCGGTAAGGATGTTTTCCGGCAAGAAGCAGAGGGCACCGCCACCTAGGATGCCTTTCGGCGAAGTGGAGAACGACGTGAGCAGCGTTGACTTTCGAAATTACCGAGTTCAGTTCCCCATGACTCCGGACAACGGGCCCCTATCAGTCTCCATGGAGCCAATCCACCCGTTGGTCTCTTCCAAGATTGAGGAGCACTACGTCTCGAGCTCGCTCTTCACCGGAGGCTTCAACAGCGTCACACGCGCCCACCTCATGGACAAGAGAACCGATTCGGACACTGCCGCCGCCGACGGCGCAGCCAAGTCGTCAACTTGCTCCGTCGAAGGCTGCGACGGCAAGTTGATGTACGACGAGCGTGGTGAGGAGCTTCTCCCCTGCGAATGCGAGTACAAGATTTGCCGCGAGTGCTTCGACGACGCGGTGAAGAACGGAGGGAGTATGTGTCCCGGATGCAAGGAGCCATACAAGGCGACGGATTTAGCTGAGGTGGCGAGGATCGCGAGGGAGAAGAAGGGGATCGCCGTGCGTCGGTTGCCTGCGCCTCCGCCAAAGGATGAGGCGACGACTGATAGGAGGCTGTCGGTGATAAGATCAGCAAAAAGTTCGGACTTTGATCATAATCGGTGGCTATTTGAGACGAAGGGGACATACGGGTATGGGAATGCAATTTGGCCGGAGGAAGCTGTCGTAAGCGACGAAAGCAGCGGCGGGGGAGGTGGCGGTGATGAAGGCGGCTCGGAGAGAGCGCCGGCCAAGGAGCTCTGGAATAAGGCGTGGCGGCCTCTAACTAGAAAGCTTAGAATTCCAGCTGCCATTCTTAGTCCTTACCGGTGAGATTGTGCTTTGTTTTCAGGTTCTTTGATTCAATTCTCTCTTCAACGTTATTGATTAATTGTTTTCAAAGCTTCAAAATTTACTGCAATTATTCAGAATCTAACTTGTTTAATGACCCAGATTGAAATTTTATTTTCTTTCCTAGAGGTCCTCGATTAATTCTCTGGAATTACTCTATTGGCACTTGTAGTGCCTTTTAATAAGATAATAATTATACAAGATAACTTTTTTTTTTTTGGACGGGAGAGATGAGCCGTAGTTATATTATTTTGCGAACGTTTGTGTGTTTTTGTTAATTTGCTTGACGTGGAGAACAAAGTAGAGAGGAAATATAGCATTTGAAGAACTCCAAACGATTCAACGCGCAGAACAATCTAATAAGACAAATGATAGAATCCAACAATTTTGAATATTATACTATATAATTCTTTCGTATCAAATCAACCTTTTAGAAGATGTAATCCTAATTCTTCCGTATTGGTATCTTGATTAGAACTTGCTTTAAGATATCTGTTTACACATTATTTTATGATGAAATAGCTAATTCTATAAAAGAATAATTTATTGAATTTATTATTTTTATGAGTTTGCTTTGTAGATTCATTTAAGACATTATTGTGGTGGTCAGCTTGAATTAAAATTGGACCGCTGGAGTTGGTGTTCGAAGGGTTTCCGATGAGACTGGCGATGTTTGCCAAACATACAATATATCTTATAATAAAGATAATAATTTTACTGTTGCCATTGCTTCTATTAATCGGGAGTTGACTTTTAATTCTTAAATTTATCAGTTTTTACTTAAGCTCGCAAAAAACCAAATGGCTCCTGCTTCTCCACTGCATAAGAACAATCTAAATGAATTAATGTATATTTCTTCTTCTTCTTCCTCCTGAGCCATGCTCTGTTTCAATTGCTTGAATGTATATACGTAAATTTGAAATTTTGCTTACGAACATACAGGCTGTTAATCTTAGTTCGCATGGGGGTCCTCGGCCTGTTCCTCACATGGCGCATCACCCACAAGAATCACGACGCTATCTGGCTATGGGGTATGTCCGTCGTCTGCGAGATATGGTTCGCCTTCTCATGGCTTCTAGACCAGCTCCCTAAGCTCTCCCCTGTGAACCGTGTCACAGACCTCAAAGTCCTCAAGGAAAAATTCGAAACCCCCTCCCCTACCAACCCCACCGGAAAATCCGATCTCCCCGGACTCGACGTCTTCGTCTCCACCGCCGACCCTGAAAAAGAACCTCCTCTTGTCACCGCAAACACCATCCTCTCCATCCTCGCCGCCGACTACCCTATCGAAAAGCTCGCTTGCTACCTCTCTGACGACGGCGGCGCGCTTCTCACCTTCGAGGCCATGGCTGAGGCCGCATCCTTCGCCGCAGTGTGGGTTCCGTTCTGTCGCAAGCACGCGATCGAGCCACGCAATCCGGAGAGCTATTTCGGGCTGAAGCGGGACCCGTACAAGAATAAGGTTCGGGCCGATTTTGTGCGTGATCGCCGGCGGATTAAGAGAGAGTATGATGAGTTTAAGGTTCGGATTAACGCTCTTCCTGAAGCCATACGGCGGCGTTCTGATGCTTTCCATGCACGCGAGGAGTTGAAGGCCGCGAGGTTGCAAAGACAGGAAGCTACGGCGGCGGCGGTCGCCGGCGATGAAGCACTACTCGAGCCTATTAAGATACCGAAGGCAACTTGGATGGCTGATGGCACTCACTGGCCTGGCACTTGGATTCACTCTGCCTCTGATCACTCCCGTGGCGACCACGCCGGCATCATTCAGGTTAGCGGTTTATTTTAAGAATTTCTTTTAAATAACTATTATTATTATTATCATGATATTTTCAATTTTTCCGTATAATTAGCCGTAAACAATTTTTTTCAGGTGATGTTGAAACCCCCCGCAGAAGAACCCATCTTCGGCACCAGCGCCGACGACACCAGCAGCAACACTGAAGACGACGGCGGCGGCGGCCCCATCACCACCGTCCTCGACCTCAGCGAGGTGGACATTCGTCTCCCAATGCTTGTGTACATGTCCCGCGAAAAACGGCCAGGGTACGACCACAATAAAAAGGCCGGCGCCATGAACGCCCTCGTCCGCGCCTCCGCTGTCTTGTCCAACGGCCCTTTTATGCTGAACCTCGACTGCGACCACTACATCTACAACTCTCAAGCCCTCCGCGAAGGCATGTGTTTCATGATGGACCGCGGCGGCGACCGCATCTGCTACGTACAATTCCCCCAACGCTTCGAAGGCATCGATCCCTCCGACCGTTACGCCAACCACAATACCGTCTTCTTCGACGTCAACATGCGAGCACTCGACGGCCTGCAGGTTAACGGCCTACTTTTAACAAAATTATGTTTGTTTCTCTAAAAGAATTAAGGAAATTTACATACATAACGTTTTATTTGATGCTATTTAAATATCTAACATTAAAAATATTAATATTATGTGTCTATCATACATATACAATTTTAATATTAAATATACTACTCATATAATTCATTTCTACCATTCATTATATCCTATAAATTTTAATATTTCATTTCATACACCTAAATTTATTTTATGGGTGATAGACATATAATATTAATGTTTTAGGTGTTAGATATATAAATAACATGAAATAAAATGGTATGTATGTAAATCTCTCAATAGGTGGGGAGTCCAGGCATAGAATTATGTTCGGACTCTAATAAAACATAATCCCTGTCATTATACACGTTGTATATAAAATTTGTATATATTATGTACACAGTGTGTATATTGTATATATAAATTTGTAAATATTTTGTACATAATTTTAAAATTTGTATATAATATGTACAATTATACACACTATGTACAAGGACAAGTGTCATATTTTTATTGGACTCCGAATATAATATATTTGGACATCGCACGTAATAATTTCTCCTTTTCTAACGGAATGAGTAGGTAAAAGCTACATCTATTAAAAAAAATTCAAAATTTTTTATTTTTAGTAACGATTTAAAAAATATTAGAATATAAAATTATCATATTAATTGCAAAGTAAATTTTAAATGAATTTGAAACCCATCTTTTATATTGGAGGCTGCTGTAACCTTTAAGAAATTTGGGGATTTACTTACCACAATTTTTTATATTTTTTTCATATTTAATATCTAAATTTTTTTATTTAATTTTATAAAAACTAAGTCTTCAGATCAAATTAAATATTATTAATATTAACTTAATCTTAAATTTTATAACAAGAACGTTAATGAATTTCACATAGGGAAGTTTATTTGTACTAAAACTTTTCTTTAATAAACGAAGGGAAAATAATTATGAAGCTTAATTTTTTATGACATCTGAACCTGCAGGGGCCAGTCTACGTCGGCACCGGATGTCTCTTCCGCCGCATCGCCCTCTACGGCTTCGACCCGCCGCGGGCAACGCTGGGCTCGGCTAGAGGATGCTGCAGCTGCTGCTTCCCCCGCCGGCACGGCGTCAGCCATCGCGAGCACGACGTGGAGACGCACGCGCTACGAATGGAGGATGATGATGGAATGAACCTATATTCGTTTCCGAGGAAGTTTGGGAACTCGAGTTATTTGATTGATTCGATTGCAGTGGCGGAGTTTCAAGGGAGGCCGTTGGCTGATCATCCGTCGGTGAAGAATGGGAGGCCGCCGGGTGCGTTGATTATGCCGCGGGAACCGCTGGATGCATCGGCGGTGGCGGAGGCGGTGAGCGTGGTGTCGTGTTGGTATGAGGATAAGACGGAGTGGGGGACACGGGTGGGGTGGATTTATGGGTCGGTGACGGAGGATGTGGTGACGGGATACAGGATGCATAATAGAGGGTGGCGGTCGATTTACTGTGTGACGAAGCGCGACGCCTTCCGGGGGACGGCGCCTATTAATCTGACGGATCGCCTCCACCAGGTAATTAATTGCGGTACTAAAAAAACTGTTTATAAATCAGTTAAAAACTGTCTAATAAATTATTGGGTTCAGACACCGGACGTGTTCGGAGTCCAATGTAAATGTGACACATCACCTCCTACTCGGTACTGAGCAGTACCAAGCAGTACCGAGCTCGGTACTGCACGATACTCAGTACTTCACATTACTGAGCTCAACACTGCTCAGTACTGTGAATACCGAAAGTAAGTTGTGTTTGGTGTCCGAACCTAATAATAACTCGTCTAAAAGGGCAAATTATTAGGTCCAGACTCCTCACAGAGATAATCATCCGGATTTCTCTTTGTCTACAGTAAAAGCACAGTTAAAGCGCGGATGCTACAGTATCTAATTTTTTACTACGCTTTTACTATATACAGAAAGAAATCTAGATGATTCTCTCTCTCTCAAGTGTCTGGCCCTAATAATTTTCCATCTAAAAAGAACCATCCCAACTGAAATTTTGAATTACATCAGGCTATATAAATTAGATTCAACGGCTATATATATGTAAAAATTTTAATGTTATATTGATAAATATAAAATTTTTGTATTATATATTTAAATTATTGTGAAATGTATTTAAATTACATTAAATTTAATTAACAAAATCTTAAATCTAATATTTTTCCTTAGATAATGCTCGTTTTGCGTTCACCAGGTGCTGCGTTGGGCAACCGGGTCCGTAGAGATCTTCTTCTCCCGCAACAACGCTCTGTTCGCCGGTCCTAAGTTGAAATTTCTGCAGCGTATGGCGTACCTCAACGTCGGCATCTATCCCTTCACCTCCATCTTCCTCATTGTCTACTGCTTCCTCCCGGCTCTTTCCCTCTTCTCCGGCCAATTCATCGTGCAAACTCTCAACGTCAGTTTCCTGGCCTATCTCCTCATCATTACTTGCACGCTCGTCCTCCTCGCCGTTCTCGAGATAAAGTGGTCCGGCATCCAGCTCGAAGAGTGGTGGCGCAACGAGCAGTTTTGGCTAATCGGCGGCACCTCCGCTCATCTTGCCGCCGTTATCCAAGGCCTCCTTAAAGTCATCGCCGGCATCGAGATCTCCTTCACTCTCACCTCCAAATCCGCCGGCGACGATGAAGATGACGATTTCGCTGATCTCTACATTGTGAAATGGACCTCTCTCATGATCCCGCCCCTTACAATCATCTTTGTCAACCTTATTGCCATTGCCGTGGGGGTAAGCCGGACAATTTATGCGACAATCCCACAGTGGAGCAAGCTGCTTGGGGGTGTTTTCTTTAGCTTCTGGGTGCTTGCTCATATGTATCCGTTTGTGAAAGGATTGATGGGGAGGAGGAGAAGGACGCCCACCATTATTTATGTGTGGGCGGGGCTTCTCGCCATCACGATTTCGTTGCTGTGGATTGCAATCAATCCTCCTTCGTCGGCAAGTTCACAGATTGGTGGCTCCTTCTCGTTTCCTTAGCTAATCTGTGCATGATATCTCTCCCTCAGCGCCTATCGTGCTTTTTACCCGCATGAATGTTCATAAAATGAATTGCGCGCTAGCCGTTTGTTCTTTTGCTTGTGAAGAAATGTTAGTCGAACAACAAATTGATGTTGTTGAGAAAGTGTAAAAGAAACTGTTGCAATCATTGTTTACATTTCTTTATGCTGTTTATTGATGGCATAGAATTTCATATAATGAAGAATTTTAATTTGTTATAAAGTTTGAAATTTGTATTTTTTATTTTATTCTTTTTCAACTTTAAGATTAAACTCAATTTGTTGTACATGTTTGAACTTTAGTTGCATGAGAAGACTACTTACCTAAATTGAGAATGGTTGTCTTTGCCTAACCTTGTTAAAGAATTTTCTTTTTTATGAGGATGTTTTTCTTTATCCACTCTTCAATTAATCAAAGGATTTTTTTCTGATTTTTTTTGAAAAAAAAAGGTATAAAATCTTCAACTCTCTTTTGATATTGATGGATTTTTTTAGTCGTTAGATTTATTTTGAAATAAATACAATATAAAAGTTGATTTAATTTGAGTACAAAAATTCTTATAATTTATTTTGTCATTAAATTTATTAGGACATCAAAAATAGATTGAAATTGTATTCTTTTTAGCTTCAACAAAATTTAAAGATAAATGTTTCTTTTGAATTGAGATTAAATTAAGTTAGCCTATAATTTGATCGTGATATGATCGAATGAATTTTAACCAATGTTGAACTAATATGAGATAGACTTAGGTTTCGTTTGGGGCGACTTTCTTATTGCTTCTTAAATCAACTTTTTAGTACAAAAATTTTAAATTTTATACTAAAAAGTTGTTTTAAAAAGCAGTAAGAAAGTCGTCTCAAATGAAACTTTAAAATCAAATTATTAAGAGTTTAATCATCAAAGAAACCAATAAATTTTTTAACCCACCATCCTAGTTATCTTGTTAAGCCAAGGAATATTTTATTGGCAAATAAAATGTCTTTTGTAATAAATCTAATTGTATTTTCTAACAAGGTTATAATTTTTATATTATATTTAAAGTTAGTATGCTAATCAAAAATTTGGCATTATAATTATTCTACTCTAGAACATTTGTGATAGTATAGAGTTCGTTGTCTTAGCATTGTTTGTACTAAAATCCCATGCACATTAGGATAATACAAGTCGAGATTAATGCAAAGGAGACAAAAATTTAAAGTGGTACATAACTCAGAAAAGGATTTTTTTTTTGGGAAATGTCCTTGTTAAAATAATTTCACTAGAGTAGATTGTAGGCTACATATAACATCTTTCCATAACAATTCGGAAATTTGTTGATAAAATTAATATATTTAACATAAACTATTGATGATATAACACCTCAAAATGAAATTTTGGAAGATATCTCTCTATTTTAATATATTAATTAATCAACCAAAATTTTTATGAATTCATCTACATAAATCAATCCAACCGAAACAACTTAAAATTATATACATCAAAATATAAAATTATGCTCATTCCTCAAAATTCATGTATAAAAGTCAGGGGATCAATCATTTCATTCAATCCAACTTTGTAAAGTCCTGACCACAAAAGAAAGAAAATTAAAAATATAAAAATAAAATGAAACATGAATCCATGATCTGTCATTCTGTCATCACTCCACTAGATCCAACACCTTCCTGAAAATATGTAAAAGAATAGATTTAGCTAACAGCTCAGTAAGTTATCAAAACCTACAACCAAAATCAATACAAATCATTAAAAATAGTATGCATATAAGCATTCAATCACTATATATTAAAAATAAAATTAAAAAAAAAGGCATTCAATCACTATCAATGTGAACATATAAATGTAAAAACATGTAACAATCAATGAAGCAGTAATAAGTCATATGATCAGTAAACATCAGTACAACTGTATATCTTAAGAGTTGTGATCAGTGTTTGAATAGTTGCTATTTGAATGAGTTATATTTATGCAACTTATGTAGTTTTGATGATTCCAAACATTATTGTTCAAATGTATAGTTATCTCCTAACAATTTCAGAAGATTTGCACTTGCTCTTGTGTGTACTAACATTTCAGGAAAATCAGACTCCAGACTACGAAAACTTCAAATCAAATTGCCTTAACGATGTCAGAATTCAGAGATCTTGGGCTCGTTGGATTTGTCTCGCCGAGCCGCTCGGTTTGAATATAAGAATGCCATATTTGGATATCATTTTATCATCCAAATAATACTTTGACCCTTCCAAATATGGTCGAGACCCCTGATTCCGACCTATTTGGGCTTGGGTTGGACCAATTTTAGTGTTGTTTTGTTCGTCTCTTTGAGATGTTTAATTTGACTATAAGTTTGCTGAAATTGAAATTCAGATGATCCCAAATTTAATTTTGAAAGTTTCCAACTTGAATATGCCTCGAGATTCGTGCTTGATCAAGGCAATTTTTTAGGACGTTTCAATATCAAATATCGTTGTGTCAACTTTATCGGTCTTATGAGATACTTTTATCAATTATACTAAATATCTATGCAAATCATATCATGTGAGTATCATATATATATATTCCTATCAACATATGCAATTACTATAAGCAAGATAAGACATCCATCTATATGTGATATTTTTCCTATATCCAATCATATGGATATGAATCAATTTTATAAGAACCGATCTCAATCATATCAGTCATATTTCAAATTAAGAATTAATCATATCACAAGTCATTTAGGTCAGAGAAATTTCATATCAGAAGTCATCACTTCATGACCATTGTTGTAACATATCATATCAATTAATCTCATTATGTCTCCATTTTCATATTATTTAGGATTACACTATAAATCTTATTTTAAAGAGAAATATGTTGGCCCACCGTCCTGTACATGATGACATGTCTCCATCTAATATGAATCATCTAATCATTTTTAACCAGCCTCTTACATATACTTATTTCAAAGTATATATATCATAAAAAACAAGTGATATTATGCTCAATGTTCAACTCACTGCACAATTCTAGCATATATAAAATAAACTTATAAATCATGATTAGTGCTATTTATAAGAAAAATCAGTATGCTCATTTTCATATGTATATGATCATAACAACTGAATTGTAGTAAGTATTAAAATATCATATAAAATATAAGTTTTAGGTATTGATATAAGCTCCGTTTGGGATAGTTTTTGAACAAAATAATCTTAAGAAATCAAAATTCATTATATTTAATTTACAAAATATTCTTAAAATACATAAATCTTAAGTACTTACAATTGAATAATCCCAAATATAATAAACGAACTCTATCTGAAATCAAATGTTAAAAATTCATCAGTTTGCACGTAAATATCTTTTTATATATGAAACTTTCGCCCAATTAAAAGAAATATTATTACTCTGCAATAATAATTTCTCCAATTAAACAACTAAATACATAAATGAAATATTTAAAAATTGTTAGTCTTTTCAGGACAAGAAATAAGATTCTTTATTATTATTATTATTATTATTTTCTTATTAGACAAATAAAAAAAAATATCGTTCGCCCAAACATATAAAGATGCTTTGCTTTCTCAGTTTCTCTGAGGTTTTGAGGAACATCTGTAGCTTCAGAAATTCAGATCCCAATATAAAATTGGGCCAAATTTTTCTTAGCAGAAGAGCAATTTTAAGCTATGTTTGGAGCGATTTTTTTTCCTGATTTATAAAGTTGTTGTAGAGAAATTAATTTTTTGATGTGGTTAAGGAAAATAGATTTTTAAAACATTTTTTTTAAATAATGAAAAAAGAATGATCAAATAAAAATTATAGTTGAAATCTGAAAATCAAAACGGTAAGAAAGCTTTCCCGAATAAAGCCTTAGGTTTCGTTTGGTACGGCTTTCTTATTACTTCTTAAAACAGCTTTCTAGAGTAAAAAATTTAATTTTTTTTGCTAAAAATTTGATATAAGAAGCAATAAAAAAACTGTTCCAAACAAAGCCTTGGGATAACTTTCTTATTGCTTCTTAAAGTAGCTTTTTAATATAAAAATTAAAAAGTTTGTACTAAAAATTTATTTTAAAAAGTAGTAAGAAATCTGTCCCAAACAAAGACTTAGGCTTCGTTTGGGACGGCTTTCTTACTGCTTCTTAAAGCGACTTTCTAGTATAAAAATTTTAATTATTGTACTAGGAAGCCACTTTAAGAAGAGCGAAGAAAGCCGTCCCAAACGAAGCCTTAGTTTCATATGAAAACCTAAATTAAACGCGTGAGAACTAATCAATTCTGCTCAATTTTGTAATCGTCAGGCAGACATGAAAATATTTTGATAGAATTCACATTAGAACGGGCTTTAATGCTGTTGAATTTATACTGAAATTAGTTGAGGTGTTGGATATAATGCATAGCACTAATCTCGGGGTAGATCCATGGGTAATGAGGCCTTTCACAATAAAACAATGTGCCCTCTAAGATTTTTTTTTCTTATTTACTACTATCTTTTTATTAGAAATTCAGCCCAATTTCAAGAATAGGTTATGAGATGTAATTATTGTTAAAATTGTGGACTTGGGTGTAAGTTTCACTGGCTGCCACGTGTAGAGGATTATAGGCTTCCCACACTTCTATCATTTGACAAGAGCTTAAATTAAGAAGAATTTAGTAACCCAAAGAACAAAATGTTAACTTACTCTCTGTTTCTTTTTTGTATAAAATCAAATCCTAAAGAGTAAAGACCTTAAAGAAATAATTTAGAGCCCATTCTTTGGTTCACTGTAACTTGATTATGATGCGCAGTACATTCCTATTTGATGCTTATAACAAAATAAACTAAAAATAAAATAGTTAATTCCAATGCTTAAATTGAATTTTCTTTTAAATATTTTATTATATATCAAACTTTAATTTAATCAATCAACAATTTTTTTAATGATTGAAGCTTTCAAAAAAAGGAAAATTATAAGGACAAGAAAAATGATTTTTTTTAATACCTTAATTACAGAGTATCCAATTATTCTGCAGATGAAACAAATAGAGAGAAATATATATTGATGAAGACAGTATGTTGATCATAGAACTGGGAACAATTTGGCTGAGCAAAAATTATATTTTTGAGAGATCTAAACACTACACAATTATGCATTTTATGTTTTATGATCCGTATTGTTCAGGAGAGATTATTAGGTGCAGAGTGCGGACGGGGAGAACCGTCCGCACAAGCCTTATTCCGCGCTAGGTACTGGCACTCGG